GATCACACACGACTCCTGAGGTTGCCAAATCGTGCTCTGGATTGCGAGCGGAGACGCTTGCCTCTCAGCACATCTGAACAACAAGGGAGGGTCGCGGGCGCTGTGCCGTGCCTGGTACATCGCCCGGATCGCGAAGAGAAAAGTGGAGGGATACCATCCAGATAACCACTCATCATGATGGATGTGCCGCATATGGAGGAGGTGATCCGCAGCAGCTTCGAAGCCATCAAGGGCAAGGGGTGAGTGGTCCTAAGCCTGTAGGCCAAAGCAAGGGTGGATCGCAGGTCTTTCGTATGTTGGGTAGACTTGAGGCGGTGTACTTCGCCGGTGTGTGATCAGCCGCTCCATTGTGGTTGTGACGTGAATTTCGCTTGGTCCTGCAGCAGCAGAGGCCGGATGTTGGATGTTCGGCTGGTATCTCGATGTCTCGCTTTGGACTCTGTGAATTCCATCGGCAGCCCCAAGCCGGATCTTCTTAAATATAAACAAGCGGAGGGAGCTACAACCCACGTAGGGATCCCGCATCCCGGACTTCTGCCGTGGACAAGCAAGTGCCCAAATTGTCAAAGATCGGGCTCTCTGGCCACTTTTTTTTTTTTTCACACCCGTGTTTTGCGTTTGAACCGAAACGAACCAACCGTCACCACGCTGCGGGGGAAAGACGGACGCAAAGACGGCAGCTGCCGATATCACACAGCAGTGGTAGCACCAAATCTGTCAATTGCTTGTGTCATTCTCGTGCAGGTTGGGACCACGTTGTTGATGAAACTGATGTTCCAGACTCGGCCTAATTATTGTAGCCCATGGACTGCTGCATGATGCTGTAGTCTACAGCAGTTGTGTGCGCGGGCGTTTCGCGTCATACCATCGTCATGCGCAACTTCACTCGCTGGCTAATATCTGTACCGTACTGCCTGCTGTTCGGCAGTTTCATGGCAAGCAAACAACGTACTCGGTGCCCACACAAACGTACGCTACGACAGCATAGTAGATGCCAAACCTGCTGCGTACGCTTCTGTCGCCGTCGTGCGTGCACTGCTGTTCAACAGGCCCAACGACCGCAGTCTACCCCGCAGCTTCATCCTCCGCGTTGTGGGGCTCTGGCTGGTGGACATGATGGTGTTTCCCTCCTACGTGTCTTTCCTTCTCGAAATCCCGCCGACAAGCTCCGGCCTGGGCCACGGCACCGTGCCGACAGGATTTCGAGAGTGGATCGCCGACAGGACGGCGTGGCCGCACCGCACACGGTTCGTGATGGGCGCTGGCGTTTTCACGGAAACGGCGGCGGTCTTGATGGCGAGAGCTAGGGTCGCCAAGCTCGATGTGGGGGCGGAGCTTGCGCGGTACCTTCGCGCCGAGGTTCTTGCTGCGAGGGGCGATGATGTCGCGGCACCGTGTGCGGCATCCATGACGCCCGAGATTGCAGGCCTGGGGGTTGTGTTGACCTCGGTCTGCGAGATCATGGAGGCTAGGAATGCGGCGGAGGCGGGGTCGGGGACGGAGGAGGCCGCAGGGGCGGGAGCAGCAGCGATGGGAGAGGACTCTTGTCGCAGCGGTAGCTCTCCAAGTGTCCCTGACAGCGAGGAAGTAGCCACCAAGGCATCCCCGTGCGTGGCAGCATCATTTTGTCATGAGGAGGGAGAGGAGGAGAAGCAGAAAGAGGGAGGGGAGAGAAAGAAAAAAGGGGCGTACGGAGAGGAGTTGGGGGGGTGGAAAGAGGAGAACGAGCAGGGGCGGGAGCAGCACAGGGGGGTCGAGAAGGGAGTGTCAGCCCCAGCTTTCGACGACGCGGTGGAAGGAGAGGTTGCCCAAGAGTCCGCCCTCGTCATGAAGAGCCACGTGCAGGGGCGGGGGGTCAGAGGGCGTTGCAGAGGTGGTGACGAGGCGAGCGAGGACAAGGTTGCTCTGGTGGGTGCATCGATATAGTCTAAACTCCAACAAATAAGTTGTACATTTTCTGGGAAAGAGCAGGCGATAAAAACTGCCGTATTCACTCACATCCTTTAACGGCAGATGGGTGTGATACCAAGCGCAAAATTGGAGGGGTCGGGAGATCCGAAGTAGACAATTTTTGTAACCACATCTCGGGGAAATATTTATCCTGTCAGTTTTTTGTGAAAACCGTCTGCAGTACTTAGTTGTCCGTTGAGTGGTATCTCTTTTCATCGAAGACCTTAGGGAACGTTGTTCATCTGACCATGATCGACCAGAACCCGATCTCGACGACACGATAGAAAAATTGCAAGTTCACAACCCTGAATTTGGAAGTAGGACTTTCGAATTGCTCTCCATCCAAAGTTACTCTTGTCCGAAACCTGGCCATTGATCCATTGATATCCTGCATCCGACGTCCACGGGACGAAAAATGGCCTGAACCGCGAACTGAATGGCCGGCAAGGTAACCCAGGGCGAGGGGGGGGGGGGGGGGGGGGGAAAAAAAAACCCGGGGGAAAAAGTCAAAAACCACCCTTTTTTGGGGGAAAAAATTTTGGCCCCCCCCCCCCCAAATTGGAAAAAAAGGGTTTTTTTTTGGCTGGGGGAAAAAAAAAAGCCCACAAAAGGGGGCCCCCCCCCCCCTTCAAAACCCCCAAGAAATTTTCCCCCCCCCAAAACCC